AATGATTACACCAAGCAAGTGAGAGATGAATTGTAATTGCCTTAATATCATGCACACTGTGATGGATGGATGCACGGTGTTTGCTGGCATTTCAAGTTCCACTGTGTTATAGCCTTGAGTTTCACAGTAGGAAAGAGCCATCCATTTGGTTTATGGCAAAATTGTGGCAAATATGCACAACCTAAACTTTGCCAGTTTAAACATTTTTGGGTATACAGTTCAGTGCCATTAACACATTAACAATGTTATGTAACCTTCACTACTATCCTCTTTCAGAAATGTTTATTCTAATCTCTGTATCCAGTTACCAGTACTTCCCATTATTTGTCTCCTTAGTTCCTGATAATCACTGTCCCCAGTGTAATTCGACAATACTTTTTCTCCTATCTTGATTGATTTTCTTGTCTCTTCCATGTCATGGTATGCATAAGAATTCCTTCCTTTTTAAAGGCTGACTGACAACCCATGGTATGTATTCCACATGTGTTTGTTCATTTGTTTGTAAACGAATGTTTGGGGTATTTCTATTTTTTTTTGGTTATTGTGCAAAATGCTGTTTCTAATATTTGGTTAGCAAGTATACTTTTGAATTCGCAGCTTCATTTATTTTTGGTACATACTCACTGGATCATGAAACAATTCTGTAAGAAAGATCTAACTATTTCAGTAGCTGTTCCTTAACATTGCAACGAAGAAAGCACAAAAATTCTGATTGATACATATTGTTACCAACATCTATTATTTGTTCTTTTGATAATAACTATCCTAATGAACTATCCTAATGAACTATCCTAATGAAGTGGTATGTCATTGACATATAGCTGCTTTTGCTGGATGCTGTGATGCAGTGGGTTCAGTCACCGCCTGTGACAGTGACGTTCTATACAGCCATGCTCTGTTTACTGTCCAGGTCTTTGTTCATGCAGCCGAGAAACAGTGGAAATGGTCCAAGTGTTTGGGCCTCTGTCACTGTGTGGGAAACGTGGATGGGGTTCCAGGCTTCCGGATTCTGCCTGGCTCATCCACCAGAACTTTTGGCCACTTGGGGAGTGAAGCAGAGGATAGAAGATCTTTGTCTCTCCTTGACTCTGCCATTTCGTCTTTCAAAGAAAAAATTGTTTAAAAGAGAGAAGTTTTGGGTTTTAAATACAGAAGGATATACATTTATTAAATATCTATTTACTTGAAAAGCAGAAGAGCAGAAAAGAGGAAGAAAATCTTGTATTTGCTAGGAACTCTGTGTCCCCTAGATGGAGTGGCAGAGGCCCAAGTACTGGCCCATCACGGCTGCTTTCCTAGGAAGGTTAGCAAGAAGCTCGGCTGGAAGCAGAGCAGCTGGGACCCAATGCAATGCACATTGCAAGTGTCATCTGTTGTGTCACAATGCAGGCCCAAATTATTTTCATTACATGGCTAGCTTCCCATACAATGTAAAAACCTGCAAACATCCTGTGTGAGTAAGTGGAAGCTAAAGTACCGTGGTATCTGTCACAACATTTTCTGCTAATGCTGGAAATTTCTACAAATAAGATTTAAGGTGTTGGAATTGCAGCAGAAAATCCCACAGCTGATGCACATAATATACACATATTCATTAGTCTATCTGCTGCTCACGCCATCCTTTGTATTAAAAAAAAAGAGAGTCCCCGCACAGCTGCCACGGCCTCGGCGTGACCCTGCAGAGGCAGGCTGGGGCCGCGCTGCGCAGGCGCGCCTCCTCGCGGCGTTTGCGCGTCTGCGCGCGCTTCCGGCCCCGCCGCTCCTGCGCGTCCTCAGCCATGGCGGCCGCGTCTGGTCCCATTCACCTTCGGCGGTGTCTGGTGTCGCCGACTGGGGCGCACAGCGCCTCTCTGATCTTCCTGCACGGTTCAGGTGGATGGCGGTTTTCCACGCTGCTTTTCTGCAGTTTAGGAATGCTCCTCCCCTGGGTTAGGGCAGGTTTGGCCCGGGAAGGAGGAGGTTCCGGGAGAGGGTGGCGGGGGGACGCCCGGGCACAGGCTGACTCTGCTTCCCCGACCCCGAGGGCCTGTCCTGCCTTTTGCTTCGCGGCTGTCAGCCGGCCTCTCCATCCGCGGCCCTGCCGTGCTTTCTCACGCGCGTTCCTCTCCTCCCCTTCAAGAAGCAAGTGAGGGAGGGAAATCTTTGGCTGGATTCTTCAGGGCTCTCCAAGGTCAGCGACCTGGGATCTGAGCTTCCCGCCGGTGGGCCGTTTCTGCTGCTTGCTTTCTCCAGGCTGCCCACCACCGAGAGTTGCAGTTAGTTAGACACTGGGAGGATTTGCGGAGCAACTCCTTACCCTTCTGCTTCGTCCTCCCTCCGCATCCTCCAATGTACCGCACCAAATGAGCTCTCAGTCCTGGAGGCGGGGATTGTGCTGTGCAGTAACTTCTCCAAGACACAGTGTGGCTGTGTCTTACTCTCATCCATGTTTATGTCTGTCTTCCCTCCCACTGGAGAGTCAGCCCTCCACAGTAAGGGCCCCTTGTCTTTATTCCTTGCATACCCAGTGCTTGCCTAGGGTCTGTTCTCAGGAAATGCACCGAATTTGACTTTTGCTTGCTGGCTTAATTTTCTCTTTCTTTCTCTCTCTCTCTTTTTAAGATACCATGTGATGCAGCCCATGTCCACAGCGGGCCTACCCAAATTGGATCAGCCAAGCAGTTTGGTTTAGTTGAGTCAGCAGTGCATGGGAGATTACAAGATGGTGCAGGGTTTACTGCCAAGTGACCCGTAATAATGAAAACACAGCAGTGGTTACGCTTGATTAGAGATGAATGCTTGCCAGTTTGTCAGAGACAGCAATCTTTGATCTGAGACCTGTAGGCTTGAAGTGCAAGTGGAGGGAGGTTGGGTAGAGAAGGGGATTGGAAAGCTACAGGCTCTGGAACTGCACATTAGCATGTAAAAGAGGAATGGGACCAGTGTCAGCAGCTGGCCAGGATACTTGGCTGTGACTGTGAGAGTTGGAGAAGAATTGGGGATTTGAATCCTAATCTTCCTTTGACTCCCAGATCAGTACTCTGGTTGGGTGAGGTGAAGAAGTAGGGAAGGAGAAGGCCTATGGCTTTTTAAGGAATACCTTCACTAATGAGATATATTTGGAAGGTCAGGTGTGTTTCCGACACACATCTTGTAAGGTGTGGGGGACTGGTACCACTTTTCATGTAAGGACAAAGAATGGGCTTTTGTAAGAAGCAAGAAATTCTTCAGTACTGTAAGTGAAGTTAGTAAGTTTATTCTCACTTCTCAGCACTAATTCCCAGTATCTTTCATGAGAAATCCTAGTATTTGATTCTTTTCCCCCTGGACTATTTTGTTTAAAATAACTATCCTTTCTTCAGCTTGAAAACATTACTGACATTTGTATAGTTTGCAGTGTCACATCTCTGAAAGCCAAAATTATATGTTGTATATGAATATTTCCCTCTGTAGCATGGACAAAGAAGCTATACAAGTAATCTTGCCAAATATGCAGGTATGATGTGATCTCCAAAGTTAAAACTGTACTGAAATAAGTAAAACTTACTAGGAGTAGGCCTTTATAGTTTAAGTTGAAAGCTAATGATTTTATGTTAGATTTGGTATGTGTGGTTGGAGGAGATGTTTGGTTTTTGATTAATCCAAGGAGGAGCAAGCCATATTGAACAGTTTTATCATACTCTTGGACCGAAGTGCTAATTTTCGTAAAAATGAGCACAGTGAATGGATGGATAGAGGTTGTTTTATAGCAGTTAGTGCTTTCAAGTCTGAGCAAGTGTGCTTAGAAACGTTTACTTTTGAAGATTTATTTACTTTTATTTGAAAGGCAGATTTTACAGAGAGATCATGTCTTCCATTTCCTAGTTCACTTCCCAGATGACCAGAGCTGAGCTGATCCAAAGCAAGCATCAGGAGCTTCTTCTGGGACTCCCACGTGGGTGCAGGATCCCAAGGACAGTCTTCCCCTGCTTTCCTAGGCCTTATGCAGAGGGTTGGATCGGAAGTGGAGCAGCTGGGACAGGAATTGCTGTCCAAATGGGATGCTGTTGCCACAGGGCATCAGTGAGACAAGCCGACTGCTCAACTGTGCCGACTCTCCAAAACAGATTTTATTTTTAAAGGAATCTTAAAAAGTTTGAGATTCTCTTCTAGGATATAAGAAACATACAAAACTGTACAACAGTGTAAGTTATAGAAGGCCCAGTTGATGTGAGCCTTTCATACTACTGAAATACCAAAGAAACAACTTCTTTTACGAAGCTAAAACTAGATGATAGTTCAGTTAACTTAGTTCATCCCCTTAGATAAATTCATGCTGTTGTTTGCTGCCATATGACACTATGTGTCTTATTTCAGAGACATCTTATTACCTAACTCAACATCTGCGTTCCATTCTGAATATTAAGATTCACAGAGGCCAAAACCCTCTGTCTCATTTATGTTTGTTTTTTCCCTATACAGTATATCTCCTTGAGTTAGTTGTCTGCTAAAGTCTCAGTAACTTCTATTGCTAAATGTATCGGATGTTTTTCAGTCTTCTTTGAATTGTCCTTTTCCTTCTTGTTTGTTCCTTCTGATTTCTTTTGCTGACTCATCCTCCTCTGTTTGGTTTGTTAGATATGTAGCTTTGTCAAAAATGTAGCTTTAGATCTTCCTACTCTAAGACATTTTTCTCCCCAGGCCATGTTCCATGTAGACCTGTAGAATCTCTTTTTGCCTGCTTGCTGGTGACACAAATGCATGTCTTCATGCTAGACCTCCTTTGTGCTTTAGGCCTGTGTATCCACCTGCTGGATACACTCGTTCTTTAATCCATTCATTCAAACAATGCGTCTCATGGCCACTGTGTCCATGGCACTGTTGTAGACTATCGAGTAAGGAACAAGAAGAAATCTGTTCACGTGGAGTTTAGAATCCAATAGAGGAAATAAGTAATAATAGTAGAAAATAGTGAGTTCAGTGAGGAAAAAAGAAGAGGATGTTGGCGGAGGAGCAGACAGAAATTATGAGAGTGTTATGTTTTTAAATAAGGGGATCAGACTAGGCCTCCTTGTGATGGTAACACTGAAGCAGCTAACCTTGAGGGTATGAATCATGAGGCTTTTCTAGATGAGAGAAAAGCTAAGACAAAGACCCTAAGATGAGTTCTCCGACATGTGCAGGCAAAATTATGAAGGCTAGCGTGCCTCAAATGAGAAGAGTGGACATTGGCCAATGGGGTGTTGGCATCCAGTTGGTGTAAGCTGGGGGTCAGCGTGCTTTCCTTTAATGGGTCAAATGTTTCAGGCTTGGGAGGCCACATAAGCTCTCTCTCACATATTTTTCTTTCTTGCCTGCTTTTTTTTTTTGAGTCTTTAAACATGAAAAACTCATAATTAGTCTATATTCTTCAAGACATTGGCTGAATATTTATTCTTCCCTCTGGCTGGCCTTGGTTTGAGCAACCAACTCCTGGTGTATGAACTTATATATATTGCATTGTATAGACCTGTTACTTAATGTGTTTCGTGTCTTGGGTTCACCCACGTGCTCCCTCCTATATTGCCCGTTTCTGTTCATTTTACCTCTTAAATATCTCTAGTATCAATTCCTGTCTCTCCTGATATCGCCTTGGTCTAAGGGTCAGTCACTTCAAGAGCTTCTTGTTATCCCCACATCTGTTTGGACCCAAAATCATCGCTTCCAGGTCGATCCTTTAAAATTATGCCATCATTCTGTCCAAAATACTTACAGCTTTTCCATGTCCTTGGGATTTTTCAGGCTCTTCAGACTTTTCCATCCTCATCTTGCAGTCAACGTTCCTACCATCTGTCTTTGCCAGTTCTTAGGTGGCCTGCTTGTGTCTGTCCAGGAGCCTCATGCTCGCTTGCTCCTCTGAGATGTTCTCACCTTCCTGCAGACTTTTCGTTAAAATCGTGCAACAACCACATGCGAGATCCTTAGTTTGTGTCAGTGCTGTTCCTGGCAGTAGAAAAACAAAGAACTCAGTGAGTAGAACAAAGTGAAGCTTGCCATGGGGAGCAGGTATTCCAGTGAAGTTACCCCAACTCGCCTGGCTCAGTTTGGGATATCTTATATAAACCCTCTCTGCACCCAGTGTTTCGTGTTGGCAGAGGTACCTTCTGTATTTCTTTTGGAGGTTTTCGGACTGATGGCCATTTCTCAAAATAGGCGAAAGTAAGGACGCTAGCCCCTGCCACCACTGCCACCCCACCTGCAGTCACTGCTTTTCTAATAGGGAGCACAGTGCCTGATGGAATTGATTTCTAATGGATTGATTAAAAAATTAAGGTGTGAGTTCTAAAATTTCATCTACATAGGGCAGGCCTGAGTTTCCTTCCAACTTTTTTGGGTGGAAATGTGTGTGTGTATAGAATATAGAATGATTGTTTAGATCATTCCATTAAAATTAAATCCTAATTTGCTCAAGTTAAAAAACAGAAAGATCCTTTTGGAAGAGTTGTTCTTGTTTAAAACCAAGAGAATATATTAAGATGCACCAACTATAAAAATTTAGTGATGACTTTTCAAGCTTCTTTTTGGAGTAAACTAAGAAAAGACAGTGTTAAAAATCAGAAATATGAAAATTTGTTTTTAGAAAAATCAATTTTCCTTTTGTTCCTGCTACCCCCATTAAGTAAATGAGAAAACTTAAAACTCAATCAGGAACTTTAAAGTTATCAGCGGTGAAGCAGGGAGTGAAAGTTTTCGCAAGCAGCTCACGTTTCAGCAGTTCCTTCATAAGTCAGTTTCTATTCAGTTGCTTGTATGTATCAGTATTTTCTCATCTTTTAACACAGCCTCTGTGTGAGATGAAGTTCCAGACTGCTTTTATTGCAGTGTATTATTAAATTGAGTATTTTGTTTCTGACTTTGTCATTCATCAGGTGACTCTGGACTAGGAATAAGAACATGGATCAAGCAAGTTTTAAATCAAGATCTAACATTCCAACACATAAAAATTATTTATCCAACAGCTCCTGGCAGGTATGTAGTAATTTATCTCATTGCTCAGTATGTACCAATGGAATGTTTTCTTAGCTTACTCCTTAAATTAGTGTACATTTTTTTCGGGAACATGTTCTTTATTTTGCATTTGTACTTGTGGGTGGAGCTTTGCCAGGTGAGTAATTTCCTTCTCTTGAAAGCACTGCCTTTAGCTGTGAAATGAAGCTGTGAGCAGTGTGTAACCTATGGGACAGTGTGTCCTCTGCCATTTCAGATTGCTCGTCTTTCAGACTCCTTCCACTCCCTTACTCACCCAACAAGGAAACTTCAACTTGGATCTAACCTTTCTAATAATTTAGCCATGACAGAGTTTATTAGCTCAGAAAAGGGTTTTATGATCTTGTTTCACACATTCAGAATTATTTAGAAATAATGTTATGTATTTTCAGTTGGGAAATCAAAAGAAGAATATGGAATTGACTTCTTAGCAAATATTCAGGTCATATGACCTCTGTGTTGGATACAATTCCCATAAGATTATCACAGTTTTGTAGTCAAATTGCACTTTGTAAATATTAAATTAGCATCTGAGTTTTTTATATGAGTTTACGAATATTTTTATATGAAATAGAGTGCTATGCTATGCAACCTAATCCAGTTTATTCTTACTGAATCCATTGTATGCATAGGCAAAGATTTTAGTTTTTGATTAATTTAGTATTGAGTAAAAATAGAACCAGTATTTACTAACAAGTCTTTATGTCAGTTGATAGAACTGAAGTAGTAAGAATCAAGGTTCAAAAAAGTTAATATGTTAAATAATTTTATATAAAATACATATTTAAAAAATATTTTAAATAAATTTTGATAATCCAGATAGCTGGCCTGCTGACCAAAAGGCTATTTTGTCACATATAAGTTGTACATCTTTGAAAAAGTCAAAAATATTTGCTGTTGGCTTTTAAAATGGGTGAAATTTGGGAAGGAAACAAAAATGATATTTCTGGATGTAAGAAAGAAAAATGCACTTCAGCTTAAATAAAAATTGAACTGTTTGATGAAATATAAGGAAAGCCATTGGGAATTTGATTCTAAGGATTAATTAATACTTTCTATTATTACTTAATATTTCATTCTCAAACCCTGGACTAGAAGTATTTCAGAGTCCAAATACTCCATGTGACGCAAGCTAAATTTGTGGGTGCTTTTTTGATTTAGTAAAGTAGACTATTATTGAAATGATGCAGTACATTCTTGACGACTTTTTATTACATGTTTCATAATTAGCTGTTTGGACGGATCATCAGTTTTATACCACACTAAATAATTGAAGTATAATAAAAATTTTATACATAAATTTAAATTTTCTTGGGAAAAGAAGCAGAAAATTTTAATGTTAATTGTATCTTTTATTTAACTCAGTATTTCCAAAATATTGTTGGTTTAATATAATCAATTTGAAATTACTGAAGTGATTTTTTTTTCATTTTTGTAAGCTAGGATGTGTGCATTACAATTTGGATATTAAATCATTCACACCTGATAATATTACCTTCTGGTTCTTCTTTTGCACATGTACAATTCAGTAGCCTTTTTTTTTTTCCCCACTCTAATATCATTTTGTTCCCCCTGTATCTTGGGAGAAACAAAGGGGAAAGCCCCACCCAACCTCCCACCCAGCCCAGGTCCCCGATGTGAGGCATGCTCCGAGGGTCCTGCCCAAGCAATTTTGATAGTTCAACAGGTCTGAATTGCTGCCAATCTCGCCATTCCAATCGCCATGAAACCTATTCAGAATCCACTGGCTGACATAGTCTCTTCATATTTGGGGTTCTGAGATCAGCAGTTCAGTTAGAGGGAACTCCAAGGAAACTTCATCTGGTATGATCCCAAACCTGATTCTTGTGTGAATTTGCCAGTACAGGGTCTGGCACAGTCCATCACTCCAATCAGCTTATGCATATGCTGATGGTTGCAATTGCTGGGTCAGTTCTGTCTCCCACCGTCTTCTACTTGAACCAGTGGGTGTGGTGGTCCAGCTCGATCCTACCCACTTCATACTCAGTCTTCACGCAAACCAGTGGGAGCTGCAGCCTAGTCGGAGCGACTCCCCATAACCCTCACCAGGCTTGCTCCCTACCCTGGTTCCCATGCATGCCAGTATGTACCGCAGGCTTGTTCAGTCTGTCCCACATCCCATTTAGCTCTGGTACTTGTCAGTGGGCATTGAAGCCTAGTTCAACCGAACCAAACTGCTATTCAGCCCACACACATACTGGCGGGTGCCTTTCTGTCTAGCCACCACTGCCCCTGTCCTGGTTTTGTGCTTTCCAGTGGGAATGGTTACCCAAGAGGGAGGTGCCCACTATCTCCCTACTAGCCACTCCTACTTCCAGATCATGTACTCTCCAAGTGGTTCTGGTATTTAACTTAACAGAATTGGCCCCCAGTACCAGCCTCTGCCATCTGATGATATGGCAAAGCCCAACCAACCCTCATCCACTCTAATTTTTGCTTTCACCAGTCAGAACAGTCAGCCCCATCTGGCCCTTCCTCAATCTAGCTCACATGAGGCACACAGGTGTTGTAGCCCTGCCTGGTCTGTTCTGCCTATCCCAACTTAAGTTCTCCAGTGGGAGTAATTGTCCAGCAGGGGAGCCCACATTCCCCTACCAACTTTGCTTCCTCCCCCTGGTTCTCACGTGTACTGTTTGGGTGCTGCAATCACATCTGGTATGGCTCACCTCACCTTGGCATTCCTTAATGTGCACTGGAATGTGTTGTGACCGAAACTAGCCTGACCCACACTCTATGCTGGTGCTCAGATTCACCAGCAGTTGCTGTGAACGGATTCAGTCTGGTCTGTCCCCCACCTATGCCATATGTATGATGGTGGGTATCTTCCTCTGGCCTGGTCTGGCTTGCTCCATATCTTGGTTCTTGTGCTTACCTGTAGGGGCTGTGTTCCGACAGAGGAGTTTCACAAGCTCCTCCTTCAGAACCTCTCCCTATGCCAGGTCTTGCGCATACTGGTGGTTCCATGGGCCAACCCTCATTGCTGGTCTTCACTTCATTCCAGTTCTTGGTGTTGGCTGTTTCACCCCAGCCAAGGCTTGTCCATACCCAGACACTGCTCACACATGGCTCAGTAGGGGCAGAGACCCAGCCTAGTCTGTCCTGCATCTACCCAGGTTCTCTAGAGCACCAGATGGTGCTGGTGTCTAGCCCAGCTTGGTGCGCCCAGCCCCAGTTCACACTTGTGCCTAGGGAGATTGCAGCCATATCCAGGCCAGAGCGCAGCCCCCACTCCAGCCCCCGTACCCTCCGGTGGGAATTCCAACCCAGCAAGGGTGTATTCTCACAGCTCCCCAACTGAGTCTATTCCCAGCCCTAGATTATGTGCATGTCAGTGGATGCTCTGACCCAGTTGGCTTAGCCCTTCACCTGTCTCAGCCTTTCCCTTTGATACTGTGCCGTAGCATTCCTGCCTCATGAAGACCAGTTGGGGTAAGAACCTAGGTCGGAATGACATGTGCTCCGTCCTGATTTCTTTGGGCCATTCTCTACTGCTTTCCCAAGCCATAAACAGAGCTGGAAGGGAAGCTGGGACATGAACGTGTGCCCATACAGGGGCCCGGCATAAGGAAGACAAGGACTTTAGCTACTAGGCTACTGTGCTGGGCTCATACTCCAAGATACTTAATGTTGAATAGTTATTGGGAATAGACCATATCTTTGTGTACATAAAGGCTGCTAACACCTTGCAGCAGGATGAGTCTGGGAGGGGTCCGGGCCTTGGGGTTGGGAGCGGCTTGCAGCTCCCTGCAGTGTGGCGGCTGTAGGGGGTGTCCCAAAGCTTAGGACCCTGCAGCAGCAGTCTCCTGACTTCGGATGGGTTCAGCTCTGGCCATTGCAGCTCCTTGCGGACTGAAACAACATATGGAAGATCTTTCTTTCTGTTTCTTGTTCAATCTGTAAAATCTGCCTTCCAATAAAAATAAATAAATCTTAAAAAGAAGCACCTTGGAATAAATTCAACAAAAGCTGTGAAATATCTCTGGTAAAAATTTTAAAAAATAGAAGACATAAAAAATGGAAAATTTATGCACTAAACATGATTTAAATACAGGATATCCATATGTGTTTAGAGTCTAGCATTTTGGGCAGTAATTTTGTGCCCCAAGAGAGTTTCTATAGTCAGTGTATTGGGTGGCAGTACTGTACATCAGTTCACCTCCTTTCGAGCGAAGCTTTTTCATTGGGAGCATTTCAAAGAGCTTTGATCTTATGAGGCAATCAGGTGAAGGTCAGTTAAGAGACATTGTACTGAGCTTCTTATAGTTAGCTCTGTATTTTCTTCATGTTCAGTTATGTGTCATCTTCACTACTGTATCCTTATAGGCACTTAGGATATAGTATCTGATGGCTACCACAGTGGTCGGAGAAGGGCGGAGTTTGCCTCCAACCAAACCGGAACGGATGGCGGAATTCTGGTGGGCCCCTCAGGCAGTAAGACCACCATTGCACCAATGAGGGGTGCAGACCCATACCCCCCACCAGTAAGGGCCAAGGCGACCCTTGTTTTGGCTCCCGTGTCAAGGAGAGTTTAAAAGAGTCCCTTCTCTATCTCTTCCGTGCTCTTCTTCCTCTGCAGCCCACTGCTTCACGTCAGTCCTTTCTACTGCATGGGGAAGGGCAGCCAGTGACCTTGGTTCCCTGAAATAAAGGCCATCTGAATTCTTTCCATATATTCTTCGCCTGGTGGTTGGTGAATCTAACAGTATCTAAATACTCAACATAGAATCATGACAAAGTAGATGATCTTTAGTGAAATTGAATAAATATTTTACAGAATTTGATGTGATCCTGAAAAAATGCTAAGGTAGAAAAAAGTGATTGTAGATATTTATATATATTTATGTTTTGTTTTAGAATTATTTGTGCCTATGGATGGTTTTTTGTTTGTTTTTTTTTAAGATTTATTTTTTACATCCACTAGTTTACTCCCCAAGTGGCTGCAATGGCCAAGGCTGAGCCAA